CATTAAAAAATAAAAAAATCTGGGCGATGTGGACTGGCCGTTTGACCGGGCAAGGGAGGTTCCCGTCGGTTTCACGCGAGTCTAGGAATTCGCGGCTGACCGGAGGTCGCGGGACGCCGGCGGGCAGGCGGTGAGCAGACGGGAGAAGGAGAATTAGGGCTGGGGCCTCCGTTTCAAAATTTGATGAATAGTAGGGGCGGATTTGGAATTTATGAAACTTCAAATTATTCCAATCTGACCCCTGGGGTTAATTCGTAATTTTGAAAACTGGCCTGGGCCTGTATGTAATTTCTGAAATTGGCCTAGGCCTGTTTGTTATTTTCAAAACTGTAAGGCCTGTTTGGTTTTTTCACAAAATTCAGAATTTTGAAAAGGTTGAAATAATTGGTATTTTTGTTTGTTTCAAATTTCGGAAAAATCCCTAAAATTGAAATTTGCCCTTGGGGTATATTTCAAACTAAAAACTATTGTCAAATGACTATTTAATATTTTTGAAATATTTAATGAACGAAATAAAGCTTTGAGCTTGTTTCAAAATTTTAGAAATTTTGATAAACATTTTAGCACATTATTTTGATCCATGAATTTGCTTAACATATGTATTTTGAATACATATTTATGTGTTTGGAATATTATAAATGCATGATAATTGGATTATTTGCTCATATTTGTCTAACTGAAATAAATTAAATAGTTTATTTTATTTTAGTTAGTGTCCGCGATTTTATTGTCTGGGTAGGCGGCGTCGAGTATTGGTCGGACCGCGTTATATTATGTTTGGGTAGTCGCCGCCCAGTATTTGTGGACCGCGTTATATTATGTCTGGGTAGGCGGCGCCCAGTATTTGTCGGACCGCGTAATATCATGCTCGGGTAGGCGGCACCCGATATGTGTTATTTGTTGGATCTTGTTTGAATATTGGATATTTAATACCCCGTTCAAATGTTCCCCTAATAAAAAATATAAGTCTCATCTTGGATGTATGACGTCACCCATCACAATTGAATGAGTGCAAAAACCTCTTCGTCCAAAAGTATTTATACCCTAGTGTTTGCTTAGGGCTACGAGTCTCAGACTCATTCATAGATACATATGTTTGAGATCGTGTGATGGTTTTGACTTACTTAGTTAATTCTTGTCGCCCTAGCGTCGGAATGATCTAAGGACGTCGATCAAATTATATTTGATCAACCAAGAGTTGTAATTGTTTACAATTGGTTTAGAGACCTACCACTACATACATTATAGTGATCAGCCCTAGCTGGGACTATAATGGGATGGATGTGGATTTTGGCTCACTATGACTATATTTGATATGAGTCCGTACTCTTTTGAAGGGGTCGTAGAGTATGTAAAATTAATGAGAGCTAAATTAATTAAAAACCATGTTAATTTAGTTAACGAATGTGATCATGTTGTTTTAATTCCTGTTCTATATATTTCTCTAGGTTGAATAAGATGTCGAACTTATCATTGAAATGTTTGATGGAAATGAACAAGTTGACTGGACCGAATTTTCCTGACTGGCTGCGCAATTTGCGTTTGGTATTAAGGCAAGAACGGATTGAGTATGTGTTCGACACAGAGATACCCGTTGTGCCTGAACAGACTTCTTCTGAGTATGCTACGTTTGACCATGCTGCTCATAAGAAGCACGGGGACGATGAAATTTCGGCTGAAGATGATTGGACTGATTGAAAAATTGGCTTTGATTAGAACGAGGCTTCAAGATCATGTCGCTGTGAACATCATCTTGCAGTCGCTCCCAGATTCATATTCTAACTTCATAGTGAATTATAATATGAATAATACGAGAGCGAAGTTGCCTGAGTTGCACAACATGCTTAAGGCTTACGAGTCATCCACCTCCAAAGGAAAGGCTGTACTCATGGTGAGTACTTCTGCTAGATCTAACCCAAAGGGTAACAATAAGCAGAAGAAGAGGGCTAAAGTTGCTTCTAAGCCCGCAGCCTTGAAACCTAAGGCAGGAGTGATCAAGAAGCTGAAATTGTCCAAGGATACATGTCTCTTCTGTAAGGAGAAAGGACGTTGGGAGAGAGATTGTGAGCGCTTCAAGGCACTAGGTGCTGCGAACGCCACATCAGGTATGTTTGTCATTGAGATAAATATGTCTATAAGTAATATGCACTGCTGGGTATTTGATACCGGATGTGGCTTACACATTTGTAATAATGTGCAGGGGCTCACTGATAGCAGAGTGGTTAGACCGGGTGAAGTTGAACTGCGCGTGGGGAATGGAGCACGAGTTGCTTCTGAACGCGTGGGATTTATATATTAGACTTACCCTCGGGTCTCAAGCTAGAACTGAATAATTGTTATTTTGTTCCCTCGATTACGAGGAATATTATTTCCGTTCCGATGTTAGACATTGAAGGGTTGGAATGTCCGTTTTGACAAAGCCATTAAATCTTTTGGCTTTGTGAGAAGCAATGAGGATCCATGTGTTTATAGTAAACACGATGAGAGTACTACTGTTTTCCTTGTCATACATGTAGATGATATGCTGATAATGGGAAACAATGTTCCTCATATGCAGTCGGTGAAGGATTGGTTATCAAGTACCTTCATGATGAAGGACTTGGGTGAAGCTCACTACATTCTTGGAATTAGGATCTATTGAGATAGGCCTAATAGAATGTTGGGACTTTCACAGTCCACCTACATAGATAAGGTACTAAAGCATTTTTCCATGGAAAATTCTAAGAAAGGGAATCTTTCAATGGGTCATGGCATCAAGTTATCAAAGAAGAATTGTCCTTCTACTTATGTTGGACTTGAACGCATGAAGAAGATACCATATGCTTCGGCGATAGGATCTATCATGTATGCCATAACATGTACAAGGCCAGACGTGGCTTATGCGCTTAGTATCACCGGCAGATTCCAACAGAATCTTGGGGTGGAACATTGGAAGGCCGTTAAGACTATACTTAAGTACCTTAGACGGTTTAAAGAATATTTCTTAGTCTATGGTGGGAATAACGAGTTAGCAGTTACTGGGTATGCTGATGCAAGTTTCCAGTCTGACCATGATGACTTTAAGTCACAGTTGGGTTATGCATTCATTTTCAATGGTGGGGCAGTGAGGTGGAATAGTTCCAAGCAAGCAACCACTGCAGATTCAACCACTGAGGCCGAGTACATTGCTACATTTGAAGCCGCAAAGGAGGCTGTTTGGATACACGAGTTCTTAAAAGAACTAGGGGTAGTTCCAAGTGCCACTAATCCAATATCTATATATTGTGATAACACCGGTGCAGTTGCACAGGCAAAGGAACCAAGATCCAACAATCGCAATAAGCATGTACCGAGGCGCTATCACTTGATTAGAGAGATAGTTGATAGAGGAGAAATAAAGATAGAACGTGTTCAGACTGAACACAACGTGGCTGACCCGTTCACCAAACCATTGTGTATAGCAAAACACCACAATCATTTAGAGAATTTGGGTATTAGAGATTGGCTCTAGTTCAAGTGGGAGATTGTTAGTATATGTGTCCTAGAGACAATCAATTTTGGGACATATGTACTTGATCACATTCATATTATATTTGATGATATTCATGGTTTTGCATTAATTGATGAATTCTTTTGATTGTCTGTAATTTATTAATTAATGGCTCCCTTGAGTTAATACTGTCATTAACAGAGTGAGATGTTAATTGATAGAGTATAACTCTTAAATTACCTCAATCGATGATCATTAATAAAAGGGATACTAATGATACGTGATAGATTGACATGTGGTCTGCATCACATTCTTTGAGAATATAGTATGTCTCACTACTATGAATAATTGTTATTCGTGATGGATACATGGATACTTTGGAGAGTATTGGTATACCCTACCGATAAACCATTTGTTTATGTGTCTATGGGAGTATCGGTGTGTGGAATGGTGTAATAGTCCTTTGACTTGAGGTCAATTCGCAATTCATGTATAGAGTGATTTACTTAGACCTAGTTCAAAGCTTACGCTCTTATGGGTAGATACGGGCTTGTGTTGGGTAGGTCACAATATACATGGAATTGGTAGTTGAGCCAAGATAGGATTCATTCCTCGAATATAGTTTCGAGAGAACACTCGTTTTTTCTATACTGGGTTGATAAAGTCATTGGTCAATGCATGTGAATATATTTGAAATGGTGTTCAAATATAATTAATTGAAATCAACCAGTGAGATGAGATAAAATGATTAAGCTGTTTGGATAGACACACGTTCAAGGATTCTCGGGAAGCATACCGAGCGAAATCGGGCAATTAGACTGTTTGGTCGATTTTTCTGCCGAAAGTAACTTTCTCACCGGAGAAATCCCGAGCAGCATTATAAACTTAAGGCAGCTCGGGAGGCTTGACTTGAGCAATAACAATTTATCAGGTGGGATCCGAAAGAGATCGACTCTCTGAAGTTGCTAAACGAGCTCGATTCGGGAAATAATCGCTTATCGGGCCATATACCTGACGAGCTCAGGCACCTCCACGCTCAACTACCTCGATCTCTCGAATAACAACTTTTCCGGCGAAATCCCGTTCTCGTTGCAGAATCTGAAGCTCAACAGCTTAAACCTGTCACAAAATATGCTTTCGGGGGACGTGCGTCCTCTCTTCTCAGACGAAGCTCATCGGGACAGTTTTCTCAGAAATCCCGAGCTTTGCTTCTATAATTCCAGCTCGTGCAATCGCAAGGCAGAAGAAGAGGATCGAGTCTTTGTATGGGTGATGAGGTTCATTTTCACCACAACGAGCCTTGTTTTATTAGTCGGGATCATATGGTTTGTTTCGTTGAGGTGCAGGAAAATCGAGCAAATGGCTAAGAAAGATCGAGCTGCAGTAACTAAGTGGACTTCCTTCCATAAGCTTGCCTTTAACGACAGCGAAATTATCAACGACTTAAAAGAGTCGAACGTGATTGGTGAAGGAGCCTCCGGTAAAGTCTACAAACTCGTCACAAGCAATGGGGAGGAAGTAGCGGTGAAAAAGCTGCACGAGAAGTGCGAAAATGACGAAAACAACCCTGAATTTGATGTCGAAGTCGAGACGCTAGGGAAAATAAGACACAAGAATATCGTGAAATTGTTGAGCTGTTGTGATGCGGAGAACTGCAAGCTCTTGGTGTATGAGTACATGCCGAACGGGAGTTTAGGGGATTTGCTGCAGTGGGCTTTTGGATTGGCCGACGAGATTTCATATTGCTTTGGGTGCTGCAGAGGGGCTCTCGTATTTGCACCACGATTGTGATCCGCCGATTGTGCATAGGGACGTAAAGTTGAACAATCTGCTACTCGACGAGGAGTTCGGTGTTAAAATCTCGGATGTTGGTGTAGCTAAGGTTGTGAAGGAAGTTGAGAATGGTGTGGAGTCCATGTCTGTCATTGCTGGTTCATGTGGTTACATTGCACCAGGTGATTTTTGTTAAGCAGCATTCTTAGTAACTTCAAGCTACACTAGATATATGTCACATTTAGGCTGTCTTTGGTAAGCATATAAGCTAGCTTTTAGCTTATTTGGTTAGCTTATAAGCTTTGTGTATTCAAATAAAAGTTCATTTGGTAGAACGAACTTTTTTTTTCTTTTCGTTGGGTAGCTTTTCAAATAAGCTCGTTCAAATTTTTATTTCACTTAATTTTACTAAAAACTTTTATTATATGAGCTAGGTTTTCAGCTATAAGTCATAAGCTATAGGTTATGTTTGGTAAGCCTAGCTGATAAGCTAACTTATAATTTTTAAGTGAATTTCGAACTTATAGCTGATAGCTTATGACTTATGGTTGAAAAAGCTAACTTATAGTGTTTAGTAAAATTAGCTGATAAGCTAGCTGAAATAAAAATTTCAATAAACTTATTTGAAAATCTATCCAGAGAAACTCATGAGATAAGCTCGAGCTTTTAAAAGAAGGCTCGTCCTACCAAACCAAACTTATTTGAATACATGAAACTTATAAGCTTACCAAACACAGCCATAAGCTCGAAAAACACTTATAAGCTATCAGCTAGTTTTACCAAACATTGTCTAAATTTTGGCTGCATAGTTATCAGTTTTGGCTCAAGCTAACATATGGTTGAGAATTTAATACAAAATACGCATACACACTGCGCGTAAATGAAAAGAGCGACATCTACAGCTTTTCGGCATAGTCATTCTTGAGCTCGTAACCCGAAAATTGCCGACTGACCCGGAACTTGGGGGCCGAGATTTGGCAACTTGGGTCTCTACAACCTTAGAAAGCGGAGGGATAGATCAAGTGATCGACCCGAATCTCGACTCATCATTCCACGAACACATTCGCAAGGTTATTGATATTGGACTCGTCTGTAGCAGTAAACTCCTGACCAGTCGTCCCTCCATGCGCCGGGTGGTTTCTATGCTGCGCGAATTGGGTGCTAGCATGTTTAATAATCACAGTGTACATGAAAAAGAATAAATGATAAGCTTTTTGTAAGCCTAAATATTGTTTAATCACAATGTTTTCACAGTAATTGTAAGCCTAAATGTTATTTATATAAGTTCGGGGTAATAACCTACAGAGAAGCAAAAGTTCAGAGAATTTATATTATACTTGTTGTCACTTAGGTATACTGAAGATCATATCTCAAACACGAAAAAATTTAAAAGATGGAACAATCAAAAAGGGGGATAATTCTACGTATAGATAACACGACACAACAAAGACTTTTTTCAGTAATCTAAAATCTCGCAGTTTGCCTCAATTACTGAAGAGAAAGTACATCAAAATTATAAGTTCTTGATAGATATCCACTTTGCTTACTACTACAAAATTTTAAGAAACCAAAAACATCCGTATAGTCGCACAAACAACATAGTTTCATATCATTCTTGTTTCCATTCACTTCATTCCATTGTTCTCCAAAATGTAAATGTAGCACTTTTTTAATCTACAAGAAAATAAAAAGTTGAGGAAACACATAACAGGCCATGCTAGATATGCCATTACATTGTATGATCAGCATAAATCGAGCAGAACGAGAACAAAAGGAACTACTGTTGAAGAAAAGAAAAAGAAAAAGAAACATTTGGTATTTATATACAAAAAAGGCGCAAAACGCATTAAATGCCCAGTATTCGTGCTAGGGGTGTAGGGTGGCTCCAAACAACTTTGGAGCTAATAAAACTCATTTATTTCACATATCACAATTAAAATTAATTTCTCATTCAACCTAAAATGGTTTTGAGATATTTCTAAATCTTCTATTTACCAAAAATGCAACTGTACAAAATAAAATTTTCTTGCAGACTCGACGTGCTTTTAAGCTCTTTTGGTGAAACTAAGACTGTTGTGTCAACAACGGGTGCATCATCTTCATCCATAGTGATTCCATCAGCATCTTCAGTCTTAGGTGGAAATGTGAAAGTCGCCAGAATTTGTTGAGGCTGGCCAATGTTTATGACGATATTGATTTCCTGGTCATGAATGTCATTTCCAAATCCAAACTTCTGGATAATTTTCATTCATCATTAGACATAATTTGATCTTCTGCTTCTAGCTTGTCATGCAGATTTTTGCTTATTTTGTTTACCCCTTCACATTTAAATGTTGATTTCTGTATATTTAGGTGGTTTTCTATCACATGCTAGCAAATGACTGAAAGAATAAAAACCTTAATTTCATGATACTCCAGAGATTCAAGCACCAAACACCCACAAATCCTAGACATTAAAAGACATCAGCAAGTGCCCACAACTCACGAGGATAGGTTTCGAAATCCACAATTTTGTTTTATTCAGAGCATATTGAATCCAAGAAACAAATGCTTCACAAGTTTTATGTCACCATCATCCTTGATTTGAGACTACTCCCACTCAGACTCTCGATGGATAAAAATTTAAATAACAAAAAAGTTTGGTAATCTTGAGCATTCAAATCTTTCCACCTTGCAACGCGAGACCCTGAAGGTTCAAAAGAAGCTCATCCGAGTTCAAGAAAACCTTGTTGCTTGAAGCAGAAAGTGTGTTGGCAATTTCTCTGGATGCTTCAATCCTCCTAAGCGTAATAAATGCTGGGTTGTTGGCAATAGCTTGACCTATCAGCTGGGCACTCTTGGCTTCTCCCTGATCACCAAAGCACGACAAAAAAAAATAAATAATAAGAAATAAATGAAATGCTTTAGCGCAATCACACCATTTCCGGCGAGAGTACAAGTTCGTTTGCAAGAAAAGAAAAAAACAAAAAAGAAATTGATGCTTAGCATAATTTTTAGAATTTGTTTTTATTGAAAAAGTTAAATAAGTAAAAGTTTCTGAAGGATTGAACCCAACATAATGATGAACAAGATAATTGAACATCACATAGATGCCACTAAGTAAATGATGTTTTTTTTTTTACCTGAGCTCTGATTATAGCACTTCGCTTGTCTTGCTCAGCCTTATCTACCACGAACTTGGCCCTCTCAGCTTCTTGTGCAGCTACCTGCTTAGCTTCTATGGCGGCAGTGAATTCCCTTCCAAAGGTTAGGCTGGTAATCGACACATCATCCAGTGCAATGTTGAAGAAGGCAGCTCTCTCGGTTAATATTTTCCTGATTTCCCTACTGACATTCTGCATTATTAAGCAAAAAGTGCCGTCAACATATAATCCTCACCATATCAGGTAATTTCCCATAATTCTCCACATCTGATAGATTCATGGCTAACGGTAGACAAATCATTTTGAATATAATTTTTCCACTGAGTGGCAAAAATATTCAGACAGGATAATACTCACTCCTTACTCCTTACCTCTCTCTGGGTGATGAGCTGGCTTGCATTGTATTGAGCAACAACAGCTTTCAGAGTCTCGTGGATAATTGAAGGTAAGACTCTTTCATTGTAGTTTTCACCAAGAGTTCGATAAATGGTAGGCAGCTGGTCAGGTACAGGGCGTGTGAGAACACGAAGACCAATTTTCACCTGTAAAAAATAGAATAATACAGCAGAAGATGATCAAATTCACAGTACAATAGAAAACAAAACATGTTTAAAAGAATAACAATATTAGAGCACTTGGAACAAATAATTAAGCAGCAGCTGAATGCGAAAACCGAGCTAAGTTAGTTTATGGATTGGATAACTCTTCCACTCTTCCTAATTAGCAGTAGCCATTACAATAAGATAAGGTTAAAAACCTCAACAAAAGAAAGGAAACAAAAAACATAAAAATAAAAGGAGAAAGTGCTATAATTCATTTAGCATGAGAGAGAGAGAGAGAGAGAGAGAGAGAGAGAGAGATTACCATCTGAAGGTCACGACTGCCTGATGTGCTCTCCACTAGATGTGGTCTAGCCCGGACATCATAAATGACAGGCCTTTCAAACCATGGGAGCATTATGTGTGTCCCTTCAGGATACACCTGTATGTTCAGCGGATATGTCACAAATTAAGAGATTCTTCATAAATATAGAGATGTTTGCTTATACATGAACAAACCATCGACCAATAATATTTTTTATCGGAATTTGATGTCAATTCTCAATACTTTTCCACCAATAGCTGCAAAATGCTAAAAGTACAGTAAGTTTATTAACCAGTTTCTCTAATACTCCAAGGGTCACCCTTTATTTACAAATAAATAAATCATGCTCAATTATTTTTTTTACACAAATCATGCTCATTAGTGACTGAAAGATGTAACTAGAAAGAGTCAAATTTTATGGCCCCTTTTCTTTTGTGAATAAAAGGATGGACTTTTGATTCAGAAACGTAACAGCCTTGGAAGAAAATACACAGACAGTATATTATGGACATTTGACAACACAAAACCTTATCTTTGATCCCTACTAAACGATTGAAAACAATAGCACGATGTCCTCCCTCGACATTGTAGAGACTGTTAGCAACTCCATACACGCCAAGCCCTGCAACAACTCCAAGTTTGATTAAGGCAGAGGCTGCTCCTCCACCAGGCATCTTGGGAACATTGACCTTCTTAAAGTTCATCTTCTAAATCACTGCAAATGTATCACATGCGACAATAATTGTGTCAAAATGTTACATCAAATAAAAGGATTTCATCGTTGAATGCATTGTTAGCTATAAACTAAACACTTTGTTATAGCTACATAAATAAATAGTTATGAACAGTCCAAGACAAGGTTCTAAAGTCAATTGGAACCTATGCTTCTGATATTATCAATATGGAAAGATATAAGTTAAGTGCAAGAGCATATAAGGGGCTTCAATTCGAAAAGGTGGTTTTACTGTTCGACAGCTGGACCAGGGACGGATCCAGAAATTAAAAGTAGACTGGGCTAGAATTTCAAATACTCATTTTTATAAAAATTACATAATATTTTTTCATCAGATATTTGAACTGATCAACCATTCAAAAATAACAACAAATAAATTATCTACCAAAACCAAAAGTGCAAAATCTAAAAAAAAAAATCCACTATAAGGCCATAACAAACAAGATTACAAGAAATGAGAAATCATCCAAATTTCTCTTTTCCTCTACAGAAAATCCCCCGAGCAGTCAAGGACTAAATCATGGATCCTACACACTAATTAAACCTCATTACACCATTTTTTTCTCCCTTTGCAAGCAAGTGTCACATGAACTTAATAAGACAACTAATCCAACAAAATAGAAAAAAAAATAAAAAAAAAAACTAATCTAACGAAATTAAACTATCTACTCTACAGAAAAAAAAAAGTCAAGAAAACATGTAGTACAAAAAATATAGGCTACAGCAACAGCTATCAGAAATGTAGGAAATAGAAATCAGCACGATTCAAGCATTGTGAAAAATAAAAATACATAATCTAGTCATGAGTAATCTAGGGTTTGTAAAGAATTTTTTTTTTTTTTTTTGGTACCTTCTAAATTGGAGGGCTGAGTGGTGGCTGGTCGTCTTCGATGAGTTGACGCCGGAATTCAGCTGCCGGTGAACGCAATCCACCGAGCCGCCGAGGTCAGAGGTAGAAAATGCAGAAGTCGAGCGTCGAGCGAGGGAAGAGCCGTGCTCTGTTTTTCTCTTGCGTAAGGTAAGGTTATATTAACTTATTAATTATTATTTGAATAAGTATAATAAGTTGGAAGTCCATTGGAAGTGCCAGATTTGGGTAGGGAAATTGGGCCTTTGTTTATTATTGTTTTGGTTGGGCTGGGCTAGGTAGAAATAAAAAAAAAAAAATTGAAGTTAATAGGTGTAAAAAAAAAAATGGGCCTGGGCTTCAGCCCAGCCCAGGCCTATGTTGAATCCGTCCCTAAGCTGGACAGTCAAGATTTAAGACTTCCATGTTTATGTTGTACCAAAAAGCACACACGTAAGGAATATAATAGTAATATGACAAGGCATAAGCTCCAACTTCACTTTTCTAATCCATGCCAGTTAAAATGTCTTAAACTGTAATTTACAGAAGAAGCAATTAAAACCTTGACTGCAAATCGAAATGAAAGTTTCAAGTTAACTTGAATTAGAAATTGCAGGGGTCTGGAGATACCAAAACAAAAGATTGACTGAGAAATATTGATGTCTCAAGAACTCCATTAATTAAGCTATGGTAACAACGCAAGCTAATCCTCAACTCCCTCAAAACTACCTCAAAACAAATAAATAAATATTAAAAAAGGGATTCATAACACTCAAAAGAATGGCTCAAGATTTTAACCTTCTTTCTTAACCAGAGCATATTGAAATGAAGATGCAGAAAAATTGCTTGCTTTCAGCGAACAATCACATTGAAGAATCAAAAGTATCTAGAATCGGTTCAAGAAATTCAGAAAAAAGAAGAGAGAATTAGAAGCGATCTACATACCTTTATCGAGACAGGAGCAAAGGGAAAAGTGTAAACGAAAGAATGAGAGACCCACAAGGGTTTTAGACAGAGAGAGAACTTGGGTAAGGGGTTAGTATTAGGATTTTTCTTCTCAATTGCTATTTACGGCCCTTTTTACTAGTCACTGCCTCTCCTTTATTCTTTTATCCTTAACCCTTTTTCAGACTCTATCTCCCTAAACTTTCTATCTCTCAAAATTCTCGAACTTTTAACAAACGGTTCGAGCACCGAAAAAAATCCAAAAAAATATCTAAAAAATCCTACGGCCTCGACAAAGCATTCTTCTCTAGCAAGATAATTTTTTTTTTTTTTTTTTTT